AACATAGGAATAATTGGCTGCAGATAATGCTGTATAAATCTTTTCTCGCACGCTGCTGTATTAGAACCAAAGTTGTAATTGTTATGAAGATCTCGATTGCACGACCACGCATTCTAATCGAATACTGCTGTAAAAAATAGAAAAATATTAACATGAAAACGTAACAAGAAACACATAGGAGCAGTCTTGATCTTCAAAATTTACATTTTCACTTTGAAATATCCTGTACATTTCTTCTAGAATAATGGGTCCCACATTAGGCAACTGAGCATCTGTTAAATCTCGGCTAAATTCTGTCAACACTCTCATTGCCCCATGAACAGCGTATTCACTCTCTTCCCTTAAACAACTGACGAGAACATCAAACAATCCAGGCCAATTCTCAGGCCAATCCCAATGGGCTATACCAGATATTGCATAAGCCACTGCCGTTCGTACCTGAGACAGATAAAATACTTTTCAAGCCATATATAACAAGATACATTGGAATGTAACAATTTAAATTATAAATGATTCTGTATGTTTCCCCTCAGATTGATAAAAATATACTCAATTTAATCAATAGATACTCAATCAAGACTTTTTTTATAAAAACAATGTAGTGGGGAAAGGTTAAAAAGGAAAAATTGTTATTTCTTAGTTTGAATAGATTAATTAAAGGTGCATGCGCGCGCGCGCGCGCGTATATCATTACATTAAAACATTAACAAAATTAATTAAAAATTACAAAAATATTTTTTCTGCACATCTGCGTGTGTAAAAAATGAATATAAACATTTTAAATTGTTTGAAAATGACTTATAAATTTGTATTAATTCTTTCTCTCTTATAAAAAGAAATAATCCACTGCAACACTAATACAACAATGAAATAGTATATTAGGATATATATTTTGAATTATTAATTTTATATATAATTAATATAATTGATTACATTTTTGTTCCATGTATATTAACTTATATATCTAATAAGCCAAGATTTTCATATAAATTATCAGTTATTTTTATTTCTTACAATTGACTCCAGAAAATATTTATAGCTACAAGTTTTTATCAATTAAAAAAAATGTTAATTACTTTCGTAAAAATGTTAAAAACCCTGTTTCTTTTTTGTTTACACTTTAAGTTCTATATCAATTAAACTTATTTGATATTTCAGAAAGTATAAATAAATAAACATTTTCTTTTTCAATTTTTAATAACTTCTTTCTACTATTATACAGCTGATGCATCTTGAAGCCATATATTCTTAAAGCATTAAAATATTTTTTTCTTTTTTGGACAGCTTCTTTGGATAAAGGAGAGTGAGACCTTCAATTCTTTCTTTGAGTCTCATATAACACAGAATAAGCATCTATCTATAAGTATCTAAAGTAACTAACATCTATCTGTAATAAGTATCTAAAGTAACTATCTGAAGATTAAGAAATATGTTATTGACTATTTGTTATTGACAAACTGAAGTAATATGAATATACATCATGGAAGAGATAGACACAAAAAGATATAAAAGTAAGAAATAATTATCATATATTACATTTACACGGCAACGTTAAACCAATTTAGTATCAATCGCAGTTAGTGATTTTCTGCATTTAATTGGACATTTTTAGATTTAAAAGAATATACCAATCGAACGCAAGATTTCACTAACTACGGTTGTTACTAAACTGGTTTAACGTCGCCATATAAACGTAGTAATAGAGATATTCAACAATGTATCATGGATATAATATCGTAAACGTATTAATATTTTTGAAGATAGTAATGGTGGAAGCATAAAAAAATTATATTAAATCCATGTAAAACTGTATAAAAATACATTTTGAAATATTTGCAAAAAATATATATAGATAAGAGAGTTACTCTAAAGTATCCAAATATGCTTTTAGAGATATTGGCAAAGCAAGTACAAAGTTCTGCAAGACAAATGCACTCTTATATAGTACTTCTGTATGCATTTGATTGTTATAGTTTGTATTTTACACATATTTTGATGTATGTGCATATCAAATTCATGATATAACAGATTTCTTACATGTACGCTAACCTTAATGTTTAATGTTTAGAATAAATAATCATTTTTTCTTTTTAAGTATATGTTTTGACAAGATAAAAAAAACATGTATTAAACATATTTTTCAAAATCTAAGGAAAAATATATAGAGTAAATATTTATCAAAATCTACAATAAATAATTCCTATAATCAAATTTAAAAAAAATGAAAAAATTACCTTACTGATAGATTCTCGAAGTCCTAAAGGTAATAACTCTTTAATTTTCTCTTTAGCAGCATTGTTGAGCTCTGGCGGACGAAATTTTTCAGCCAATGAGCACCAGTGTGTTTCAACATATTGTTTTAGCAAAACAGAGGCTAATTGTCTAATCGCCAACTGACCATTGGGATCGATAACAAATTCTGTCAAGTGTACACCAAATTCCTCAGTTACTTCTAAAGCTTGAATTCTTTGTTCCGCTGCCTTGCGAGTTTCATAATGTGGTGATAAAATTCCAGTTAATGTATCATACAGAGCTTCTTTCAAAGAGCCTTGTATGTCGCTAGTAATCATTGTGCAAAATCAAGATCTTGTTAATCAGCATCTGCAAAATAAGAAGATGACTGATTGTCTGCAATATAATTTATTCCTGAGGTATTTTATCTAAAATTATACATAAAACAACAATCGTTAATTCGCATTAATTGTGTCCATTCATTAATTATGCCCATCTTTATATCTAGTTTTACATACTGATAACAATATTTGACATCTTGAAGTATCCGTCGGGATATTACATCATCGACATAAATGAATGGAAACAGAATGAAATAAACAAACAGATCAAATAGCGAAGAACAATAAATCGTTATCTCGCGAAACACGCGTCGATACATCACACGCTTGTGATGACGTTGTAAAATGTACGGACAACCGTGAACTAGAGCTGCTCGACTAGCGTCAAATCCGTCAAATCCGTCAAATCCGTCAAATCCGTCAAACCGTCATTAATTTATTAATGCAGAATTCCGTATCACATACAATCAATCGCTATTATTTCGCTATTATTTATACAATGAATTATGAATGCACCGACAATTCTTCTAAGTAAAACGTATAAATAATATCGCGATGTGTGCGAGAGCACATGTATACGAGAGCACTAGAGCAGTTATAACCTCCGCATTTACTAACCGGTCATGCGTGATTAAACGTTCAAAATTTTCTGAGAGCCGGCTCCACTTCACAGATTGGTTATATCATCGTTTACGTATTTAACGAGAGATACGTTATCCCTATGGCCACTTTCCATAGGTTCGTTCGCGTCGCATGTTTCAACATAGACCAAAGAACATTTGGATCACAGGTGACAAGTGGCGGTTGGAGCAGATAAATTCGTGTGCGCCCCAACGCTCAGGCTGCCTCCCCATGAAGCGTAAGGCATAGCCATAGCACATATGTAATATAAAGCAACGTATGTATGTACATACATACAGGCGACGCTGTGTGATTTGTGTCATACACTTGACCGGAAGAAAGTTCCGGTTATATTAACTGAATGACTCACGAAAGATTTGTCTTTTCAATCGCACTTCAAAACCCTCTTCAAACATTGATTGAATACAAATGATTTAACATAATTCCTTCAACCGGAACTTTTTTCCGGTTATTAATTCTGCCAATGAAAAACGCCGTTACTAGAGGATCCCTAGGCACTGAGGCACGCAAAGTGTCCATACCGATTATATACTTCCTTCCTCTCGATATTCATACATCGATGGCGATGATCGCGCTCTGGATGCGCTCGCTGCGAGCGTATACGCTCGGATTAAGTTGAATCTGATCCGGTGGATCGTATTAGTGAACGATAGTCAACTCGAGTGGTCGGGTGATATCGCCACCGGCGGCGGCAAACGTTGTTCTCTGTTGTAAAGGTTGATGAGAAGCGGTGTGTGCCGAACAACACGCGACATGGGTGGTGATAATAATGGGCAGACGAGCAGATATCGACGCGGAGGTAGATGCTCCTATTAGCGAGCTTGAAGTGCTCGTCGCATCGGAGGAGCGGGAGAGCGAAAGGGATATATGCGGCAAGAGATCTACGACGACGGGGATGGAGTCACGGCATCCGCGCAGGAATCGCCTGCGTAACGTCGTTGGAATATGTCTCTTCCTCGCGCTGACTGGAATTGTTTACCTGGGCTACTTTTGTCCGGATCACGTGTGCGCTCTGACCAACCGTGAGATCAAGGAGTCTGTCAGATTATCCGAGAGCCTAGCCGTCGCTGTCGTACCACCCGCTTCTGGCTCTGCCACATTGTCTTCCGTGTCCATCGAGTTTGACAGGAATGGCCTGCTCTCGGTGCATCCTGCCTTCAAGCTGCAGAACAACATACAGGGCAGCTTAGGCTATGACGATGTCTTTGCCAACGACACTTTTCAGTTTGATATCAACGCGCACGATGTTATGGTTTTTCTGCATATACAAAAGACTGGCGAGTATATATAAAAAGTATCTTCTCTATTCGTTGTTCTTGGACAGAAGATGTTTTAATTTTTTTAATTCCTATTATTTGTCTTTTGGAGTTTTGAAAAGTTTAATAGCGTTGTATAGTAAGCTTATTCTGTAATTCTTAATAACGGTATCGTTATCCTTACATTGCCTTACATTGTACAGGTAATGTATGATAGAAAAACTGTGCAATAATAATATAACAATAATGGTACTGTGAGAGTTATAGAAGTATATAAACTTCTTCATTGAAATTAACAGATAAGTTTTATAAAATTTTACAAGCAATAGTTTTAGCTTATAAGTTATCTTTTATATTTTATTCGCTTGTAAATTATAATATTGATGCATTAAAAATTACAATCTGTTTTTTTTTATTTGAATTATAGTAATTTAAATTTAGATTAGATTTATATCTATAGCTATATATATTAGACTTAATATATCATGTATTATATTTATATATAAAAATATAATACATGATATGTTTTTAAAAACAAAAATATGTATCACTGTTGCTGAAACATATAATATCATAGTAGAAATCATTTCTAAGAATTAAAAAAAAATCTAAATATTTGATAAATAATATATTATTGAACAAATATAAAATTTGTATCTTTTGTATTATATTTTTTTGGTATCGATATTTCTTTGTATATACATTGCATATATGAAGATAAAAAAAATAATATTTTGTGTCACTGACATTACTTGATCAATTATTACATTATTCATCAGGCATACTCAAACCTCTAGGATGTATCTTAGAAAGAAGGAATAAATTAGACATGTGAAATTATTTAGTATGCTACATGCTTGCATTCTCTCCATTTTTTCTCTGTTCAATAAATTTCACTTATAAAAGTATATCTTATACAACATACTATTACTTTTTATTACTATTATTTGCTATTACTTTTGAATATATGTTTAGTTTTATTTTTGAAAAATTATTCAAACATTATATGTGACATTGTTACATATAATAAAAATTGGTAAAGTTTATTGATTATATATTTATGCATAGGAATGTCTTTTCTTAATTTCAGATTAGATTTTATTTCAGTAATATAAAAACATATAAAGAAAGATAAGGGCTAAATGAAGCAGAATAATTTACTTGAGTTATAAAAATATATGTGTTTGTGCCTAAAATATCTAACTTTATTCTTGTTTTGTTTAAAGGTGGTACACTATTTGGAAAACATCTAGTGCGGGACTTAGAATTGCAGAGATCATGCTCCTGTCAACGACGACGTAAGCGTTGTTTTTGTTTCCGTCCAAACCGTAATGAAAATTGGTTATTCTCACGATATTCTACGGGCTGGAAATGTGGGCTACATGCAGATTGGACTGAATTGACGAATTGTGTAGACACAGAACTGAATAAAATTGAAGGAGAAGGTATTAAACGCCGTTACTTTTATATAACTATCATAAGAGATCCTGTTGCAAGATATCTCTCCGAGTTCAGACATGTGCAGAGAGGTGCTACATGGAGAGGTGCTCGTCATTGGTGTGGAGGTACTCAAGCAGATATACCCCAGTGTTATGATGGCCCCAATTGGAAAGGTGTTACCCTAGAAGAGGTAATGATATCTTTCAATTTCTATTTATTTTGCTTAATATTGATTGATTATAATCTGTGTTAATCTTTTCATCAATGTGGTTTATAATAATCTATAAATTGTTCTATATCTATTCACAAATATATTAAGAAGGTTTTAGAAAATTCGATCAAGTACAAGATAAGTTTATAATATATAATATATAATAAGAAAATTAAGAAAAAAATATTAATTTTTATTGTATTATTTTCAAGGTATTTGATTTTAGATATACAGAATTTTTCATTACAAGTATATGCATTATGTATACGTTTTTTCTCAATTTAAGAAGATACATCAGGTTAAAAATAAAATTACTTTTAACATGTATATCTATACGGTTAATAATTTATTTTAAAATTTTAATTTAATTTGATATGAAATAAAAATACATATTTCAAAGAATAAATTAAGAGAAAGTTAAAAAGTTTTAATTTTCGGCTGAAATATAATCCTTTAAAAAAGTGATCTAAGAGGTTTAATTATTGTCACTTTTCCGCGACGCTGATTTTTTTGCTTTGCTCACTTTGTGCTGCGCGAGTGCTGTCAGTACAAAAATCGCAGTTTGACAATTTATATATTTGTCACGCATATGTGGATCAATATGAACAAAAGATTATAAAAATTATGTTATAAAAATACGTATAAAAATATTTCGTATTTTCTTCAAAGTATTCTATGACTGATACTTCTACTGATACTTCTACTGATTAAACATTGAAGATATTGATTATATTGGTTATATTAATTTTCTTCATGTGACACTACATAACTACAATACACATTCAAAGATATGTACACAATTATATAGAATTGATTTGAGATTTATATTTAATTGAAAAATATATAATATGAAAAAAAAATAGCACATGTATAGCGCACGTTTGTAATATCTATAATGAAAGACGTTTGATACAGTAAAAACTTAACACGATTATTTTATTTCTAAGCATCTGAAACAAATGATTAATCATAAATGTCATTTTAATCATAAATGATATTTGATTGTGTTCCACTCGTTTCCGCTGCAATTTACAGTCGCGACATTTATAGAATCATCCTTGTTGTTTATCAAACATTAAACATGAACAAATGATGCTCACGAATGTGTGAATTGGATTGTAACCTATGACTTTTGCTTAAGATTCTTGTTGATTATCTTGTTGATTATCTCATAGTTGAAATTATGATTTTTCGATAAAAATTTCGTCTTTTTTATTATAAAATAAAAATGGTTTAAAATATTAAAAAAGGTCACAATCGGAATATAAACAATATATTTTAAAATGTATTATTTGTGTTATATTTGAAGATTCAATAATTTAGTAGTTGTGGAAAAATGTCAACCAGATAAAAGAAATGATTCCGAGAAAACTTACAGCATTTACAGTTTTAAGCTTAAATATTTTTTAAACAAAAAATAATTTTTGTTATATATCATAATCTGTTTTAAGGCTAATAATATGTTTTCTGCAAATAGTTTTCTCGTGTATTAACATTCTGATTTTGATAAATTTGTTGCGTGACACTTTTTGTACCAAATGTTCAGCTTCTTTAGTTCTTTTCTTCAATTGCATTTAAGTTAGTATTAATATATTTAAAATTAATATATTTAAAATATTTATTAACTTAAATATTGTTAATATTATTTTTATATTAAACATTTAAACAAATAAACTGTTTAAGAAGTAGTCTCAAAATCTCCTTGAAAGGTTTCTCTTTCTCACTCTCTTTTTCTTTCTTTCTCTTAAAGTCTTTCTTTGTACATGATTATTTCCTGTTAGATAACATTATCGAGTCCTCTTCTATAATAAAGGCATTGTGCTTGTAAACTGTTATCAAGAAATGCAGAGAAGATGAAAATTAAAGTATAAAAATCAAGAATAGAACTATATTGAATTTAACTTAGAAACTTGGTTTAACAATGAGATTATTATATTTGTGCAGTTTATGGAGTGTCCTTATAATTTGGCGAGAAATCGTCAAACTAGAATGCTGGCAGACTTATCAATAGTTGGCTGTTACAATTCTACTCTCAGCAAAGCTGATAGAGATCGTCTGATGTTAGCCAGTGCTAAACATAACTTGCAATTCATGCCTTTCTTCATGCTGACTGAGTATCAAAAGGTATGTTAAATATATGAATATTAATGCACAATTTATTTTTATTGTCATTATTATTGTTGCAATTATTATTTGTTATCGGCATAATCGCTATTTCTAATATTAAAAATTTATCGCATCTATTAGAATTTTTGTTTTAGCACTGTATGGTATTTGTGAAAAGAATTTTGCTTTGGTTTTATAAAATTGTTAAAAATAAAAAATATTATAGTTGCTCTTTTAGAGAAGAATAAAAAAGTAAATATAATATCGCTTTATCACGCAGTTATTATTTCATTTTTTATTATGACTCACTATTATCGGTAAGAAGTTGTTAACCTTGATCCCTGTTAATTATCTTAATATCAAGAAATATTCAATTATATAACGATGTAACAATTAGAATACTCAGATTAATATCATTATTAATATTTAAAAACTTATAAGATGTATAATGTATAAAAATAAATTTTATGTTTATAATTTTAAATAAAATAATTGTACAATGTTACAAATATCGATAATTAATAGTTAGGTAAACGAGAATAATATTTATTTAGATTAAATATTTTTTTAAATATAAGAAGAATAAAACATCATTTGATGTAATGTTTTTAATACTGAATACAATCTATAATATCTAATAGTTACAATGGGGATATATTGAAAAAATTTTGTTATTGGAATTATCAATCCTTAACAAATATTTGTTAACAATGATTAATAAAATACCTAAAATATAGAATTATATAAAAATATAGACTATATTGCGAAAAAGTTATGAACTAAATTATTAAGGATTTACCAAAAAGTTTTAAATTATTTAAGTTTACTCAAATTTAATAATTTTCATACAAATGATGGATTTAGATACAAATTCAATATGAAAATTTACAATATAAATTTATGCAACAATCTAAACATTTTTCTTAAATTTTAATTTTGTTATATTGATTCCGCTATTGCGAATTTGTCAATGTTCTCATTAGATATGTTCAATAACTTAAAAAAAACCTCCTTCTATCTGGTAAAGAACTTCTTTAAGGCTCGATTCTTTCACGCCGCGACGATGAGTTGTGTGACGTCAGAGGCGAGAAACATGTAAAAAGTTGTTTGCGTCGTATAGCTTTATTTTGTACTTTTCCCTTAAAAACATAATATTTTCATATACTTAAAACTTGTCGAAAGTAAAAAAATATCAAAAGTAAGATATCTATCCAATAAATCACGTAAAAATGTAAAATTCTTGAAATAATGGTCACTGTTCAGCTATCAGAAACAACTTGATCTAGTGATCTGATAATCGATAATCTTGATAAACGATTCCATAACAAAGTTAATTAAGAAAGTTTTATTCCAATATAAATTTTCCAATACATCATATTGTATAATTTGAACTATAATATAATAAAATATATTAAAATAGTTTCGTTTTGCAAATTCAGTTATTCTCTCTATATAAATTGTTACATGATAAAATAATTTAGAAATCAGAGTTGTATTTAATGTTAACAAACTATAAAAGTGATTAGTCTTGTACTTTTTTTTAATTATTTTTTTATTGAAAAAATATTTATTATTCTTTCATTTTCACATATTAATATTTCACATATTAATATTATATTTAAATTAAATGTTAGGTGGGACAGTATACCTTCGAAGAAACATTTAAAATGCGATTTGCAGTCGCATTTGAGCAACATAATGCTACACTTAGCGCAGCTACTATGGCAACTCTCAGCATGAAACAATTAGATGCCATACGTAGACTTAATAGCCTGGACTTGGAACTCTACGAGTTTGCAAAGAATCTCGCTTTTCAAAGATTTAAACGGCTTAGAGACCGTGATCCACATTTTGTACAACGATTTCAACATCTTGGTGAATTACCATCGAGACAAAGTGCCACAGAATTTAATTGGGATTCTGTCATTGAAGATACCACGGATAACGAATAACAGTGTGAGTATATTAAGCAATTGGCGTTTCGCATTTGACGCTAAGCGTTATTTTGGATCTGAACATCTCAGGGATGTGTCCTTGAAACGGAATACTTTATGTATAAATCGGTATACACTTATTTGCGTAAAATTTACCAAAAGGATAGAAATGTACTTGAACAAGACCAAAGAAAGGTTCGAGAATCTTAATGTGATGAATCTGATTCTCAATAAAAAGTGAAATGAATTATATGATAGGGTTGATTTTCTTTATTTTAAAATGATTAGGATCAAGCATCTTTTCTTTATTTAATTTTTTTTAATATTTACTTTTTTTATTCAAATAATAGATATGCAGAATGAAGAAATGTTACACATTTTCTATTTTCAGTTTATTTTGAAAAATAGAACCATTAACAATAATTACTTTAAGTGTTTATTCGTAATGAAAAATTTTTCCTCCATTTTCTGACATTACATTCTTGAGAAAAATGATTAGCACAGATCTATTCATTGTGTGTGTGCATTAAAAAAGTAACGTGGAAAAGAAAAGCCTTAGTTCAGAGAATAATAATTAATTTTAAATAGAAAAAAATATAGAATAAAGGAAATCAACTCAGATATTTGTAAAATTTTTCTATAATTTATAAATTTTCTATGGCTCGTAAATTCTATAAGAGTTCTTCCATATATAGATAACATATGTTCGTTTATAATTATATATTTGCAAAACTTTTTTATATTTATAGCCTATCTGTAAATTTCATTATTGCCAGATGCGCCAAGTAATTTTTTCTAATTAATTTGTACATTTATCTTTATGCTATTTTATTAATTTATATATTTGTTTCTATAAATTCTATATATGCGTGCGTGCGTGTGTATATGTATAAAAAAGTATTTGTTCTTATACCTGCTGCGAATTTATATGTAAACAATGTTATAATATGTTTTAATATAGTGTTAATAATTGAATTCACACAAACGCGCACACACGTTTTTGATATGTACAAATGTGATAATCTTTAAGAGTCCGAAAGATAAAAAAATATTTTTTAAATAAATTGAAAATATTGGTGCAATTCCCGAAAACAATACACTTTGATTTTGATGAAACTTTGTAAAAACTTATGTTTTTTTGTCGTAACGAAAACTCTGAAAATGATTTTTGGCGACTTATTCGGAAGATCATTTTTACGGTTTAATAATAAAAATGTTTGATAAAAGTTTATAATAATAAAGGTAAATGCTATGATCTTGACATTTTTTCAAGGTCGTGATCCTGAATAATCCTTAAGAGATTTTAGTCGACGCTCATTGTTTTTTTAGAAAATTATTAACAAAAAAGTTTGGATATATAACATATTCGTTTCTTTGATGTTTTTTAACTTTTAATCAAATGGATCCATATTTTACATTTGCGCTTGTCGACAGTTACTTGACAAAGATACGTGCCTTTCACTCGGTGAGCAGAGCGCGCTCCGTTAAGTGTCGTTCCAACAGAGACTCTCATGGTGAAAATTGCATTAGCTAGGATTTAAATAATAGATCATGACCTTGATAAAATAATCTAACAGAAAAATTAACCTAACCCGATTGATTAATGAGTGATATATTCATTAGATAGGGAGGATATTTAACTATCACTGTGATAAGAGTTGGGTTACATTAATTTTTTTCAGTAAAGTCTCTCTCGTAGGGGGGGGGAGGGAGAGAGAACGGAGCACACTCCACATATACATTTATCAACGCGAAACAAGATTACACCTGAGTTTTCAACTTCCACATGAAACAAGTTTTCGCATAAATTTAGCGAAATACACCAAATACATAATTCGCGTGCTAATATTGCATTCTATAACATTAATATAAAAATTTCATCTATTTAGTAAGGCCAAGATTTAATAAATATATTCATTTAAATCATTGAATGGTACATTATAGGCACATATATTTCAAATTCGCATACTTTTCGTTACATTTCGTCGATATGATAGAGTTCCTGACTTGAATAGTTGTCCACTTTAACGATTAATATCTCGCTTCGCGAATCAGAGCGACGCTTATTTCTGTCAGATTCTTTCGGTTCATGCAAAAATACGTCGAATGAGTCTACTTTTATCAATTTTATTTGAGATAAGGAGTATAAACCGTATAATTACCAACATTTTTACTATTTCCGTAAAAAGTGATCTTTCCATGTAAGTGGTCAAAAATCTTTTTAGGAGCTTTTGTTTTGATCAAAAAAGAAAGTTTTTACAAAGTTTCATCGAGATTGGAAGTAAGTTGTTTTCGGAATTTTATCCGAAATATTATTAATTTTTGTTATATATTTTCATTTATGAACTTTATTTTGTTATTCATTTATAAAAGCTTGCTTTTGAATTTTCAAAAATATTTTCGAGTTTCTACTATATTTTTTTAATAGAAACTAAAAACATTCGAATACTTTTTATATGTGAGCCAATCCAAATTAACAATGATAAATAAAATTTAAATTTCTACTAATGCAGTGTAAAATGATATTAGATTTAAATCAAAACAAGAGCATAGATTTTCATTTTTAAGAAAACAAAAAAAGATCGCACAAGTTGGAGAACTGTAGCTTCGAATATAAGAACATTGAATCATGATATTAATAATTTTATTTTATTGTGATATATTGAATTTATAATGCGTTGTGTCCAGATACAAACATACATATACAAACGCTACTACTTATTGTATAAATATTCTAATTATATTACAAAAGAGAAATCATGTTTTGATTAAGAAATAAAGACTATGTAAGATTTCGAATTATTGTATGTTATCACATTTGTAACAAGAACCTATAAAATAGAGTAACAAGTTTTTTAACTTTTTTGGTATATTTTATGCATTATACAATTTTTTTATATCATTAGTACGTTTTTGTAACTAAAAGATATGTAGATGTCGAATTATACTTTTGTAAATATATTTGAAAGTATATTTTTTAATCAAATTATTTGCAGCATAATTGAAATAAATCTACATCAATCTTATGAAAATGTTTTGTATACATAGTTTAAATAATGAAATAATTATAATAATCTATATATTAATCATTGTATACATACATTCTGTCAAATAAAATGCCGGAAATTGTTCATTTCAAAAGTCCCCGTAAAAGATATGAAAACTTCGTGGAAGATGTTTTGAGTCCATTGAAGCCATAAAATAAAATTCGCAAAAGAAACTGCAGACCATACGAGGAAAGTGCTTATAAAAAGTGTTTTGATGACTGGATTATTTCTTTGGCATAAGTGTATCGCATCAAATGGAGCCTATTTTGAAGGCGACCAAATAAATTTGGATGATTAAACCAATATTTTGTGTTTTATTGAATAATTCTCATTTATTTGACAGAATGTATATTTCTAATAGAAATGTTTGAAATGATTGAAATGATTGAAAAACGAATATCCATTTTCCATTGTCTGCGTTAATCATAAGATGATTGTTAACGGCTATACATTTGATTAAATTCCATAATTGTGCGCGCGCGCCCCCATATAACACACACAGAGTGTCTGGCAATAATCGGTCTCATCGGCAAGTAGAGCGGGTTATATTGATAGAAAGATCTTATTACCATTTTTGTAATTTTCATAATAATTAAAAACTTATTAATTTATACATATCTGTAAATGAACAAGCTTTCGTACAAAAAAGACAACCCAGCGCACTCATGATTGCTAGGCGCGCAGCAATATGTTAAAAATGTGTATTATAAATTAATACTTTGTCACGTATAGATTACATTTAAATATTTTGCCGCGCGGTTAGCAATGGTAAACGTTGCGTAGCGCTAGACTGTCTCTTCACGCAAATGCTTGCTCATTCGTGAATCTATATAAATTTGTAACTCTTGTTTTAATTATTATGAAAATCATAAAATGATACTAAACTTTTTGATTCAATATAACTCACTCTACTTGCACATGAGAGGTAATACAGTTATTACCGGACATTCTGTATATAAATATAAATATATATGTATATATAAATATATGAATGTGTGTGTGTGTGTGTGTGTGTGTGTGTGTGTGTAGTAATTAAATTAATTAAT